AATATATCAAAATTATCAAACTATTTTTTAATTTAAAACATTAATAATTTGACATGCGTAGTAACGATGCCATTACTTATTTTTAATATAATAATATAATTATAATTTTGATAATATATCAAAATTATCAAACTATTTTTTAATTTAAAACATTAATAATTTGACATGCGTAGTAACGACGCCATTACTTGTCGATCCCCCTAATACAATAAAAATAATTTTTTGATTCTAATGGTCATATGAAAAAATAAGATTAGAAAAAATCATTCATTTTTTTGTTCATAAATTAGTGTCCTACCTAACCTATACGATAAAACGTATATTTGTGTTTATAAACCAATCATAAGAGCCTAATGTAAATGTTTCAGGATGTAGATACATTCGTGATTTTTATTATCACAAGCAGACGGAAAGAAAACGCCCGATACAAGATTATTTTATCATTTGTTACATACTCTTCTGTATATATACATATATATGTATATATATATCTGTTTTTTTAACTGTATTTTTACATTTAAAAATATTCAGAACGATTAACATATTGAGCGCCACGCGTATTCTTTGGGGAATTCTCGTCAGGCCACTGACGTTACTCTGTATTGAAAAAATAGTTGACGTGTCAGCCACCAGTGACTGACGTGGCGCTCTCAACACGCTAAACACAAATTTTGAAAATTTACGTGTCTCTTGTTGATTTTTTTTATGTTTTTTTTTTTTTTTTACATACAATTCTAATAATTGTAATTACATTAAATAATAAATATATTTTGTAATAAAAATAAATGGCGCGTTATTTTTCAAATATATGAAATAGTACTACTTGATTCAATAATTATCTTATATAATAATAATAATATTTTTTATATCTTTTTTACAGTCAATCTCTACTTTCCATAATTATTTTTATTTGTTTTTATATATATATATACAGCATGATAATGCTTATATTATAGTATTGTTATATTATGACTGGTAGATGCCATTTTATTCACCCATTACTATCTTCTGTTTGTTTTTTTCCTCATACGACACAAAAAAAAAAAAAACAAAAGAAAAGAAAATCATCGTAAAATAAAAGAAAACGATGCTAATTATCTGCACGTAATTACGCAAATCCACAAATCATAATATAATTTAACGTTACATTTTGTTTTTGTTTATTTGTTTGTTTGTTTGTTTTATTTCGTTTACTTTTATAACAAATGATTTTCTTATCGTTGAAAGAGAACAATTTAAATCCGTGTGTTTTCTTTCGATAATTGTAAAACTAAAAGACTTAATTGAAATCAACATTTTGTATTTAAGATTTCATTTCTATTTTTGAACACATTAAATTTCACAATTAAGTATTCATGATTTATATATCAGTTTTAGGTATTATTACTTTCTCAGGTTCGTTAAAATCATCTAAGAACTTTTCTTGTTTCACCGTATATATAGTATAACAATAAAAAAAAAAAAGAAAAAAAATACTCCAGTTATCGAATGATGATAATAATAAAAAGTTTATAAATAAAATTCTATACGCCATATTGGTTATTATAAATTTGTTATATAGTATTTAATTATGTCGTATATGCAAAATTTAATGCTGATTATTTTTTTGTCAATTTAGGTTACTGATTATTACTGATGTTGCATTATCTATCACGTTATTAAAAATTTTGATTACTTTCGTCAAGAAAAATACGATTGTACTGTTTCGTAATATCATTTATCTCAGTAAGAATAATTAATATCGTTGAAATAAATGTAAGCAATTTTTTTCCTCATTTTAATATGGCAATGTAAGAAAATTTGAAAACAAATTATTTATCATACTTTAATATTACATTTAATACATTAATCTAATATTTCAAGGTTTGTTAAATGATCTACTTTCTTATCTTAATCTGTCATAAATTTGACTAGAAATTATAATTATACGAAACATTTCAAAGTCCTTTTGCAAGTTCATCGTTCAAAGCTACAAAAATATTATTTATTAAATTGTGTCTTTTACTTTTTTTTAGAATAAATTTGCCACTACGTAAAAAATTAATCGTATTAATTTTTTTTCTTTCTTTTCTTTTTTAAAGCGTGTCTTAAAATGGTCTTAAATCATTTTCCTCAATGTCAAATTTTATTTTTCAATGATAGAAGATTTCTGTTTTACCGACGATCAGATAGCACTAAATAATCTTATCATTTGCCGGTAATACAGATCTCATTTTTTTTTACAACTGAACATTAATCGAAAAGATAGATTCCTGTTTTACCGATCGTCGGCAAAAGTACTTAAATTGCGGGAATAAAATCATATTTAAATTTTTTTTCGTAAAAATAATACTTCAAACGATACTTTACTTGTTTGTTTTTTTTTTGTTATATTTCACGCATAAAAATAAAACTTGTTAGAAAAATATTCACAGGCCGTCTCCTCGCTTAAGTTTTATTTTTTACATGAAAATTTGTCAATATTATTTTTTTATGCATATATATATATATATATATATAGAACAGTTTTAACAATAATTTGACAATTAACGTTAAAAACTTTGGCATTTATTCTCATATATTTGTTCTGACGCTACAAGTAGTATATGCTGCATTATTATGTTAATTGTTAGCTTAAATTGGCAAAGAAAATATAACAAAAAAAAAAAAATTAAGAAATATTCATTTAAATATATTATTAAATATTCCTAGATGAATAGTAAGTAGATGATTATTATATTATATTAGATAGTAATTAGATATTTTATTAGGAGAAGGCACTTTTTCCTTCTGCTCGTATCATATAGATAGTTATTACAAGTGCTTGTTATTATTTTAAAAGAAATTCTTTAATTTGTTTTGTGTATGTATATTGTATGTGTATGAATTTCTATTGGTGATGTATATTGTTTTTTTTTGGTAACAACAAATTGTAAATAAAAGTACTTTCATCCTGAGTTGTATATATATATATATAGTATTTATCGAATTATTAAAAGGTAGACTAGGCCTGCTATTTGCAAAATTGCATAAGAATTGCATTATTTTTCATAAACATAATAAATTCATATTTTATATTTTCATATTACAACTATTTGAATATGTGATTTTCTTTTACATTGCTAATATCATTCATCATCATCATCATCATCATTATTATTATTATAATTATTACTAAGGGTGCCTCGCCACGCGTTGCTGTGGCTCACAATCAGTCCGATACACACGTCTTTAAATCAACGAATTACCTTATTGCGATTATAAATTGAGATATAAACTATCCTATCTTTCAAATTGAATGAAACTGCACACAGTTTGCAAAATTTTATTCAAATCGGTTCAGTAGTTTAGGAGTTCATTGCGAACAAACAACGTGACACGTAATTTATATATATTAAGAAGAAGAAGAAGAAGAAGAAGAAGAAAGATTAATATCATCAAACAAATTGACACATTTATAAAGATTATTTCTAGCTGCAATCAAATATTTGTCAAAGTTAACGAGACAATTGTTGTGTGAATTATAAAAATAGATAGAGAAAAAAATGCTAAAATAAATATACTGAAAATGATTGTATATATATATATATTGACAATATAATAATAGAAGTTTCAATTAAAACATAATGCAACATCACAGTCTGTGCTTCGAGTTCGAGTATCAATTTAAAAACATTTGTGACAAAGTGTTTTATGTTTAATTTGTCCTGAAAAACAAATTTAATAATCATAATAAGTGTGACAACGTTAATTATAATAACTACGACGATCTTTAAGCTGCTGCTTGTTTGTTGTTGTTTTTTTTTTTAAGTGAAAACTTCTTTAGAATGAGTGTGATTTGAAAAAATGTAACGGAACGGTAGACGGCTATGAAACGGAGCGGTGGGAGGCGATGAAACGAAAAGGTAGGCGGCTATGTAACGGAGCGGTGGGAGGCGATGAAACGAAACGGTAGGCGGCTATGTAACGAAACGGTAAGCGGCTATGTAACGGAGCGGTGGGAGGCGATGAAACGGCCGCGATGCTACTAAATAAGAAGAGAATACAATTATCCTACAGCAGATATTTTGTATTCGTCTGATTCTCTCGAAACTTAGTTTTTTTTAAAGATTTCATTTCTATAACACGTGCACATTTGCACACATGTTTCTTTTTTTGTTTGTTTTTTCTTGGTAACAAATTGAGATGTGATTTTTTTTATAATTTTATATGTTAACGTATATGTATATATATATATATATCTAATTTTCTTATTATTTAAATCTTATTTTCTATTATAAAATGAAAGGAAGATAACTATGGTCACGTTTATACATTTACTTTAAGGCAGAATGTATTTATTATTTGTAAAACTACGAATTTTTGCAATAGGATTTTTTAATTTGTTGACTTTCTTTTGTTAATAATAATATTACGTTAAAAAGTATAATCTCATTGTTTTGAAAAATTATTTAATATATATATATATATATATATATATTAATTTTATAATAATATTTGTTAATCATTTTTAATGTGTTTACAATTAAAGAAATTAATAATAACATTAATACAATTACAATTTAAATTTATATATATATATATATAAACATTTTGGGGAATAATAAAAAAAAAAAAACTGTGATGATAATCATTTAAAATCAATTCATTTAATTTAATCAAATTCAATTGATTTTAATTGATATGAAATTTGTTTAACAATATAATGTGTAATTGTATTTAAACAAAAATGAATGAGAATTATTATTATTACATTTGATTGATTTAATAAATGAACGTTTAAAAAACAAAACAAAACAAAAAAAATTCATTCGTTTTCTATTGCTCTTCTTCTCTTCTATAAAATTGACTTATTATTTAAAGAAACATTTTGATTTCTGAGGTATTGTTTTTTTTTTTTTTTTTTTTAAATGCATTTGTAACAACGTTTTGTTAATTCTAATGATGTTTTAAATAAATGCTATTTATATGGTAAATAATTATAATAATAATAATAATAATAATACGTTTAATTATATTCTGCGATAAAGAAATGTATAAATGTATTGCAATCTACAAAATTGAACTTATGTACAGACATTTTTGTTTTTTTTTTTGTAATTATTTTACCAGCTTGCAAGAAAATAAAACATTCTTCTCCTTTTTTTTTTGTATTATTTGTATTATTGTAGTTTTTTTTTTTTTTATATAAATCCTTCCAATGCCACACAACCATTTTATTTATTTATTTATTTTTAAACTGCATGAATATAAAATATTGTAGGTTTATTGCTTTGTATTGCTAATATTTAATGAATATGAATTTTTTGTTTTTTTTTTTTTTTTTTTATAAAATGCAGCATTAGATGGATTTGATGTTAAATATATTCAAAGCATTCGTTATCATTTATCCAATCACACAAAATATAATTAATTAGAAGATAATAATATGAATTATATATCAATCATGAAAATATTTTCATAAAGTACAAATATAAATTATCATCATCGTTTACACTCAATGAAATTTGTTAATAAATTAAAGTTTATTTGTCATAAAAATTATAATGATGTATCATATATATATATATATATATAATATATATTTTTTTTATTATTATTAATTATAATTAAATTAAACTTTTTATTAATCATATTGATATGTTGTTAAATTAATAATTATTATAAATGAAATCTATATTAAATATATTATAAAATATTGAAACTTGTCTTTTTTTTTTTAAATGTTTATATAAATAATTTGACAAATAAACTTTAATTTATATAAAATAATAAAATATACTATTTTTATAAATTGTAGAGGAATTTAGTTCAATTGTTAAAATTCAATGTTGAAAATAAATCAATCCCATTCTTAGAAATAAACTGTTGCAAGATTGGTAATGATAAATAATAAATAATATTAATACTGAAAATATATAATAATAATATTAATAATAATAATAATAATAATAATAATAATCTTTTGTGCTAAAACATAAATAATGTTATAGCAATAATTTGCTTTCTATAAGTAGATGTTATTTTCCCCATTAATGTGCATCATCATCATCATCATCATCATCATTTCATGCACCTACTTAAAAATGGCAGTAATTTTAAATAACAAACATGTATCTCTAAACTATTTTTTTTTTTCTTTTTAAATTAAGCGCTGTGCTTGACATTGATTAATTATGTAATAATGTTTGTGTGTGTGTGTGTGTATTTTGTGTATTTTTTGTGATGTTTAAATTTTGTTCCTTAAAAAATATTTACCCTATATAAATCTATCTATATTTATATTTATATAGATAGACTATAGTGTAAATTATATAATGATTATTAATTATTAATTATTAATTATTATAATTTGTTCACAGCTTTATCAATGAATTTCTTTCTTTTCTTTTCTTTTTTTTTCTTTTTTTGTTTCCTTCGATGGGAGAATTATTTTTTTTATTTTTAATAATAAAAACCTTCGTGTTTTCTTTTTTTTTTTGTAATTTCATTAATTTGATAGGCTATCATCAAATTATTTGTGACGTACATGTAATTATTAAGCTACCAGACCTGCATCTTTTGCCATGCTATAAAATGCACTTGATGAATTTCGAAGTAAAACTTCGGGTGCATCGTATTCAATAATGAGCCCTTTGTCCAGTACAATAACTCTGTAAAAATATAAAATTTATTGAATTATTTCTTTATAAAATAAATAACATCTAATTTATAAATACATATTATATTTACCTATCAGAGTCCAATATTGTGTTAAGCCTATGTGCTATTGTTAAAACTGTGCAATCCTTAAAATCTTCCCTAATTGTTCTTTGAATTAAATCATCTGTTTCTAAATCAACTGCAGCTGTTGCTTCATCTAATACAAGAACTTTGGTTTTACGAAGAAGGGCTCGTGCTAAACATATTAATTGTCGTTGACCCACACTGAGATTATCACCTCCTTCGGATACTTCATGTAACAAGCCATTAAGTAGATCTACACAAATTAAAATATGTTATATATGTGATTATATAAATGTATGTATAAGCTAACCCTTGAAGTGCACATGGGGTGTTTAACACCCCAACAAATGTTTGATTTCTCGAAAACGGTACTGAATTCGAAACAATGGGTATAAAACCTTTTTTGTATCAAACTACTTTGAAAAAAATTACGAGGTCTAAATATTAAATAGCGGCGGCTTCAGGTGACACGTTCAAACACGTTGGGGTGTCAAACACCCACAGTGTTACACTTTAACTAACTTTTACCAAGTGTACACTTTAAGGGTTAAATAATATATTTGTATTTGATTACTTTGCACAAAAGATTTAAGATGAGCATGTTCCAGTGCTCTCCAAACTTCATCATCCGTATGTTGATCAAACGGATCTAAATTCATTCTCAAAGTTCCAGAGAATAATACTGGATCTTGTGGTATAATGGTCAATTTAGATCTAAGATCGTGAAGACCTAATTTAGCAACATCAACGCCATCGATAATAATTTTTCCACTAGCTGCTTCTAATATTCTAAATAATGATAAAGTTAAGGAAGATTTTCCAGCGCCGGTTCTACCAACGATACCAACTTTTTCTCCACCATTAACGGTAAATGTTAAACCATGAAGAATAAGATCTAATCCTTCTCTGTAACGAACTTTGTAATCCTTGAATTCAACTTGACCGGTTACAGGCCATTCCTTTGGTGGAGCAGTTTCTGGTACCACCCATGGTGCTTCTTGAGGTGTCTCACTATATTCTTTTATTCTTTCTACTGCTACAATATTTGTTTCTACATCAGAGGTCATACGTACAAGCCAATTCAAAGTTTGTGTAATCTGAAAAAGTAATATAACAATTGTAATTATATATATATAACTTGTATATGTATAACTTAATTAACACGTTGAACGCCATGCCCATTTTTAAGGAAATCCCCGTCAGGCCCCACGTGGCACCGTTTAGATGTATCATGTTATACGCTGTCAGCCATTTATGACTGACGTGGCCTAAACGGAAAGTCTACTGTCACTCACCGATGACTGACGTGGCGCTCAACGTGTTACCTGTCATCTTACCTGTAAAGAATAACTGACAGACAATCCAACGAAACCAGCACTAATAGTATCTCTTCCTAATACAACAAATAATGCTGAGAAGAATATAATTAAATTTCCAACCATTTCCAAACGTACTGCAAGCCATCTATATAAACATTTAGGTTATGTATATCTTATTATAGAAAAAAAAAAAAAAATGTCATTTTGTTAACATAAAAATTATGAAATATTCAATGTATATATACCAACCTATTTGCAATTATACCAGGATAATAACAAACTTGATTAAAATCTACTTTACTTTCAGATTCATGTATAAATCTATCTTGTACACCAAATGCTCTGATTGTTTGAGCTCCTGAAAATGAAAATAAACATTTATTTGGAATTCATATATTAAAAAATGTATTAAGTATGTAACATACATGTAATATATTATTTATGTAACATGTAACATATTCCAAATATTGACATACCAGTTACAGATTCACTAAAATGTGAATATATGGGAGATCTTGATATTGATTCCAAACGTTTTAATTGTCGTGAAGTGGCAACGTAAAAACGTTGTATGAAGTAATATACAAATCCTATTGGTACAATTACAGCAACAAATTCTGGTGTACTAAAGCTGATAACGAAGAGAGTTGCTATTACCTGTAATATTAATATATCATTTCAAATAAATTTCATCAAATTAATTACATTAATGTTATCTATTGAAAAGAAAAACAAAATATTCATTGTTGCATGTATATAATAATTAAAACTAAAGATAAAAAATGAAAATAATAATAATAATAATAATAATAATAATAATAGTATTATGTATAATATTATGGGCATAATTTATAAATAATTTTTTTAATAGAAAAATAAAAAAAGTAACTTCACATAAGAAAGAGAAAAATATTACGCATGCACAATCTGATAAAATAAAACACCCATGTCTTTCCAGACACCCATAGCATGGCAGAACACAATTGATAAATATATGCCACAGGTCCACCAACATGTACCTTAAACAGTTATTACCCTTCTTAGGGTATGCACTCACATACATACATAAATATATATGTGTAATTATATATATAAATATATATTACACATATATAAAAAAATACATATTTCAAATTCATGTAATTTTACCCATGTCACCACCCATTGTATATCACAGGAACACATCCAGTACGTGTACATTATTTTTATAATAAAATAGGACTCACAATAAGCGGACACAATTATACTTGTACAATTTTTACAAAGAATAAATATACATATAATAAATAAAACTAGCACAGTGTCGATCCATAAAATGCAAAATACAGCTAACAAATTTGAATGGTAATTACAAATTTCATTATTTCATATTATCTTTTTTCTTTTCTTTTTTTTTCATTATAAAATGTAAATAATAATTTGAATCATTGTGTATTAAAAATATTTGATTTGAAATTCAAATATCTGTATATATATGTATATATATATATATATATGTACTAGTGCTTTTGATAAATAAAAAAATATAATAAAAAGATAAAAGACATAAATATATATATTGAATTATTATTCCTACTTGAATAAGGTAACGAAGAAGAATAATTAATCACTTAGTGTTTCATTGTTCAAGATAATCTATAGAAAAATAATAAATCAAAACACATCGAAGTAGAATAAGAATAAGAAGAAGTAGAAGTAGAAGTAGAAATAGAAGTAGAAGTTAAAATTTTGTTTGTTTGTTTGTTTGTTTGGATTTCACAGATCTCTTCGAAAAAGAATTACCTCGAAAAGACAATAGATGCTATCAGAAATTTGTGGAGGAAGAGATGTATCCAGTATGTCCACATCTTTAGCAAACCTTGAGATAATACGACCAGTAGGTGTTGTATCAAAGAAGGTCAATGGAGCACGCATCACAGCACGCAGCATCATTATATGCATCTGGCGAGCAGCCAGCCAGCAACCCAGCTGAGGTGCCAAATCGCAGAAAAAACTCGCCATCGCTACAACATCAGACATCGATAGCTTTCATTGTAACCATATTGCGGATGGTCAACAAAATTCAAGGATCCAATGCTATATTACATAAACATAAGAGTTACAATTTTTTTTGTTTTTTTTTTTTTTTAAACAAAATTACAAACGTATATTATTTTCATATGACAAAATTTGATCAAATTATTTTGTATTTTCATTGATTAATGTAAAGTTTTCATTTCTTTTTTTTTTTTTTTCATAAGCCACATTATAAATAATAACAAAATAATTATTTCATATACATATATATTTATGTATATGTATATGTATATAAAAATAAAGATTTGTTTTTTTTTTTWATTTATAAAAAAGTTATCTATTATAATTGAATTATTATTATTCGTCTCATGTTATGCGAGGGGGTGAAGTTTGCTGTGACATGCGAAATACATAAATATAATAATGATAACATAGTTTTTAATAAACATAGCAAAAAAAAATATACAATGCAGATAGTTCCCACTTTTATGAATTGCCATTATTATTATTATAAAAATATAATATTGAAAAAAATAATATTAATAATAATATTATTATTTTTGTTTAAAAACAGGAACTATCTTTATATTGAATTTGTAAAAAGAGACGTATTTCTAAAAGGCAGTAAAAAACATTGCAAGCAAATATACAGTAATATTAAAATAGTATAACACAAGCACAAGCATTAATTTTACTTTTTAAATTAAATACATTACTTGTATAATTGTGTCCATTACCTTAATTGCTAAATTACATATTTAAAATACAATATAACATTTTGGTTTTTTTTTTATCTTTCAAATATATCAGCACATTAATTCAATTTTTAGATGCGTGTCCGATGATATATATATACAAATGAAATTATGAGTATGAATTTGATTTTTTTGTAAAAAAATGTTTCATAAATATATAGTGCATGCACATCTGAAATATTGTTTATATATTATACATAGGTTGGAACTTAAATAGTGGCAACTATTTATTCACAACCGATACAAAAGAAGAGTTACATGTTTGCATCTTTTACTGTCTTTCAAAGTAGTCACCAGCGTTGTGTAGAACCCATTGCCACTTATGTGGAAGGCGTAGTACACCGTTAGCAGAGCCTGTTCTGTTAATGGTGCAAATCGAGCTGTCTACTGCCATGTCTCATCCAGTGTTACGATACGGCGTAAGAAAGTCTCTCCTTCGCGCTCATAGCGTTCCAAATGCGTCTGAGCAGCACTGTAACGCATCGTGAGCACGGCATGGTTCAGTCGACATCCGGAATTCGCGGGTTTGAGTCCCCGCTCTTCGACAACGAACGAGGGAGCATGCCTGCTCATCGTCGTGGCTTTGGGCTCGCGGGCGTCAAAAATAATGTTCTTGGGACCACCGCCAACATTCGACCTGGTGGTCTCGAGGGGCGACCGGACTGCTGCGCTTCGCACGGGGGATGGGGCTACCTGCGGGATCACTACGATGATAGGTTTTTCCCAGCAAGGAGCCCCGGGCACAATGGTTCAAGGACTAGTATACAAGACTAAGTATACCATTAGCAGAGCCTGTTCTGTTGATGGTGCGAATGGAGCCGTCTACTGCCATGTCTCATCCAGTGTTACGATACGGCGTAAGAAAGTCTCTCCTTCGCGCTCATAGTGCTCCAAGTGCGTCTGAGCAGCTTTGTAACGCATCCATTTCTGCATTTCCGTCAATTCATGCGGAACCCATCGTGGCATTCGCTTCAGAACTGTTCCAGAGATTCGACAGGCAGTAGACTACTCCATTCGCACCATCAACAGAACAACAGGCTCTGTCAACGGTAAACTATGCCCTCCAAATCGCTGACAATGGATTCTACACAACGCTGGTGACTACTTTGATGGACAGTAACAGGTGCAAACATGTAACTCTTCTTTTGTATCGGTTGTGAATAAATAGTTGCCACTATTTAAGTTTCAACTTAATGTATGTTTCTTATATTTGATATGTGGGCGTAAATAAATCAATTTATTTAGATAATATTTTGTAATCAAAATAGATTATCAATCAATAATATCAATAATAAAAATGATAATGTTGTGTATATATTAAATATGATGTATTTTCATGAATTATTGCACCCTCCCCAAAGAAAATATTTATTGCACTTGATATTTCCTAAAAAAAGAATCTAATCAAAATTCCATTAATCCTTCAATGAGAAACTGACATCTTTGGAATAGTAAAACGTTGATTGAAAAATTATATCTGATTCATTGTTCAAACAAGAATTCAATTTTGTTTTTCAGATATGAAACGACAAATGGTATTAAAGTGGCTCAATATTATGAACAAACATAATTTCGTTATAAACTAACTATGAAAAATATTATAGAATCTTCATTTAATATTCTTCTCTCTTTTTTTTTTTTTTTTAAATAAACAAACTCATAAAACCAACATGATCAAAACATGCAATGAATATAAATTGACTGACCTAATTTTTGAAAACAAAAAATATCTTTCTATAATTTTATTAAAATTAATGTGTAATTGTTGTTGTGTGTAATATAACTAATGAAATCCTAAAATTGTCACTGAGTGTGATTTGAAAATATAACTAAATGCATACAGCAGTGTAATTAAAAAAAAAAAAAAGAAAAAAAAAATGATTAAAAATGAGATTTTCATTTTCATCCAGATAATATAAATGAAAAATAATATCAATAAGTATTACCAATGATACTTTTGTGTTTTTCTTTTTATAGACATTATATATGTAAGCTATAAAGGTAGATATTTTTTGATAATTATAAATGTTGGTATAATTTTTGGACAGAAAAATGATATAAAGTTTATTATGGACAATAAAAAAAAAAAAAAAGAAAAAAAAAAATGTTGCGCCCCAATTAGCACATTAAAATTCATAAAGCAATTGCTTGTAATAAAAAATGTCGACAAAATATATATATATATATATATATAAAATAGACTATTATAATTAGAATAATGATTTATCACAATTGTAATAAAATTTGATTAAGAATCAATATTTGTTAAACGTTGTATATTTCAACGTGAAAAAATATCATACCCGAAATAGACAAGTGATCCAAGAATGCAGTATGGCTGGTAGAATATTGTCAACAACATCGATGTCTTTACCGAGTCGACTAAGAATGCGACCAGTTGGTGTTTGGTCAAAGAACGACATCGGGTTGTGAAGAACATGGCGCATTGTTTTTTGGAAGAGAGACGTGGAAGCGATTACCATCCCCTTTGCCACGAAAAACGCCATTCCAAGTACTGTCAGGCCTACAACGATTGGTGACAACTTTGATAGATATTAAATTGGCAAATTATATTAACATTTACACGTCACTTTATAATGAATTTGACGATATAAAAAGAAACAAAAACAAAGAAATAATAATAAAATATATAAATGAGTAATAGAGTTTTGATTACAGCGTATCACCTGTCCAGTATAATGTACAAGTTTCCTTATTGCAATAATCACACATGTATATAACACAGGTGCATTATAAATGAAAATAACAAGGAATGGTAGTAGTAATTGCTGTGCAATGTGTTACTATAAAAAGCACCAAACAAATAATCGAACAAAGCAGAATTAATTAATTATAGCACTATCGATAATAATAATAATAATAATAAAAAAAAAAAGCTACATAATATTTTGTTACTACAATTTCTAATTTGCTATATTATCATCTATAAATAAAATAACTATTAAAAACGAAGAGCTACAATATAAAAAAATAAAATAAAATAAAATAAAATAGAACATAACAGAACAGAACTTAAAAGATGTCAGTTTTCCTACATTTTGCCATGAATTAATCACATTTGTACCCATTGGTGGACCATTTGTTCTTAGTAGTGATATTTAAACATATTTTGTTTTTGGTTTTGAAGCAACATAGGTGTAAAATTTTTGTTTGTAAATAAAACGACCAGAAATTTCATCTACTTTGTGAGATTAATTTGAAATCTCACATACCGACAATAGACAAAAGAACCAGGCCTTAATACATGGTGGCAAAACGTTGTCTATTATATCAATGTCCTTTCCAAAACGATTTAATATTCTGCCAGATGGAGTAGTATCAAAGAATCCGACAGGTGATCGCAGTATGCCAAATAACAATTCTGAATGCAGCAATTTACTGCTTTTTAAACTGCCAATAACCAACGTCAGCTGTGCAATCATCACAAATGTCGCTGAAATTTAATTTGAACTTATTTGCTACAAATGTACTATTATAATATGAAACAATTGTAATTGTTGTTGTTGTTGTTGTAGTATCGCTTATTAAAAAATTCTTAAAATATATCATTTTTCATCTTTCTTGTTTTTTTTTTGTTAATATGTATATATAATAATAATTGTTTATTTTGAAAAAATTAACGTCAATTTATAATTTATTATGAATGTAATAATAATCACGAATGTAGAAATATCTGCCCAATTTTTATGATAAAACGTAAACAGAAGCCTTTTTTTTTTTTAAATATACATTTTGTATATTTTTTTTTACACAGTTACAATGTTAGTAACAATTGAAACGTCATTTCTTTTTTATTTATTTGTTTGTTAGTAATTTTAAACAATTATAACATAAGTCTGTGCAACAAATTGCTGATATTATTGATAGTAATACTACAGTTGCAAAATAATTTCAAAATTAACTATGGAAACATATTTTAGTTTTTGATTAATTATAAAAAAAAAAAAAAAGAAACATAGAAACATATATGTACATGTATATCCATGATTTAGTATTTAAAACACATCCATCTTTGTTTATATATAAAAGAATATTTTTGATATTTGTTTAATATACAAATATATATATATATTATGTGTCAAATTTGTTATTAAACTACTTCATCACATGCTCATATTTAATAATACTAAGCTTGAAAAATTCTATTGAAAAATATCTAAACTTAAATTTAAAATTTCTCTAATGCTAATATATATATACATAGGTTGGAACTTAAATAGTGGCAACTATTTATTCACAACCGATAGAAAAGAGTTAGATGTTTGCACCTTTTACTGTCATTCAAAGTAATCACCAGCGTTGTGTAGAACCCATTGCCACTTATGTGGAAGGCGTAGTACACCGTTAGCAGAGCCTGTTCTGTTAATGGTGCGAATCGAGCTGTCTACTGCCATGTCTCATCCAGTGTTACGATACGGCGTAAGAAAGCCTCTCCTTGACGCTCATAGCGTTCCAAGTGCGTCTGAGCAGCATTGTAACGCATCGTGAGCACGGCATGGTTCAGTCGACACCCGGAATTCGCGGGTTTGAGTCCCCGCTCTTCGACAACGAACGAGGGAGCATGCCTGCTCGTCGTCGTGGCTTTGGGCTCGCGGGCGTCAGAAATGAGGTCCTTGGGACCACCGCCAACATTCGACCTGGTGGTCTTGAGGGGCGACCGGACTGCTGTACTTCGCACGGGGGATGGGGCTACCTGCGGGATCGCCACGATGATAGGTTTTTCCCCGCAAGGGGCCCGGGCACAATGGTTCAAGGACTAGTATACAAGACTAAGTATACCATTAGCAGAGCCTGTTCTGTTGATGGTTCGAATGGAACCGTCTACTGCCATGTCTCATCCAGTGTTACGATACGACGTAAGAAAGTCTCTCCTTCGCGCTTATAGTGCTCCAAGTGCGTCTGAGCAGCTTTGTAACGCATCCATTTCTGCATTTCCGTCAATTCATGCGGAACCCATCGTGGCATTCGCTTCAGAAC